CAAAGCTGTCCCTCTTGAATTGGTTTGGGGAGGTATTTTTCTCATAGCTGTGAGAAAGGGCCCTGTCTCAAAACATTAAAAAGAAAACAATGAACAAATATAAACCCCATAAACCCATACCCCCTAATAGCTTAGCAAGGTGGGGAGGGGGCATGCTTTTAATTCTAGTACTTAGGAGGCAGAGGCAATGGGGTCTCTGTGAGTTCCATACCAGCCAGAGGTACATAGTGAGACTCCCTAGAAAGCTCTGGAAACTGGAGGTGAGGGGAGAGTGCTAGATCTGAGCTGGAAGTAGAAGAATGCTCCTGTTCCCTTGTATCTTAACCCCACAGCTGGCCTTCACTTCTAAACAACCCAGGCTGAGTTTCTGCAGGCACAGTAGAATTCTCAATTCCACTGGGCACATAGAAGGCACTTCTCAATCAAGGGTGGTATTTTGCATCTCAATAGGTTATAAAGTATACAACAGTGTAGCTTTAATTTGGCCCATAAAACAATACTTAATGAAGGCTGGAGAGATGGCTCAGTGGTTAAGAGCACTGGCTGCTCTTCCAGAGGACAAGGTTTGAGTCTTAGCACCCACATGGCACCTCACAACAATTTTTAACTACAGTTCTAGGGATTCAATGCCCTCTTCTGGCCTCTAGGGGCCCTGCATGCATGTGGTGCACATATATACAAGCAGGCAAACATGTAAGGTAACAATAATTGAATAATAAAATCAATGCTTTATGTGTACGGATGTTTTGTCCATATGTTTGTATTGTACCACATTTGGTCCCAGGCGCCCACGGAGGTTAGAAGAGAGCGTCAGATCTTTTAGAACTGGAGGTATAGACAGTTTTGGACCACCGTGTGGGTGCTGGAAATCAAACCTGTTCCTCTGGACGAGCAGCGAGTACTGTTGAGTCATCTCTCCAGCCCTCCTTATTTTTGTTTTTTGAGACAGGGTTTCTATGAGTGTAGTCCAGCCTCTCTGTAGACCAGGCTGGCCTTGAACTCAGAGATCTATATGCCTCCCTAGTGCTGGGATTATCACAATCCAGCTCCAGTCATTCTAACTATGAACAAACTGAACATTTTTGTGTATTTCAGGATCTTTTTGTTTTTCGTAAATCAAGGATCCAATGAGGTTTACTGGCTCCCACAGATACATGCACAAACACGGTGAACATATAGAAAGCAGGCACACACACATAAAAATAATGTAACGTATAACAAAGCCAGGCATTGGTGGCACATGTCTTTAATCACAGCCTCTGTGAGTTCGAGACCAGCCTGGTCTACAGAGCTTTACTTGGTCACACTGAAGATCCCAGTGTGGGCTTCTGGGAATCTGAAAGTATACACACTGGGTGTAAAGTGGTCAGCATTTTGCCACTGATGGAGACAAAAGAAATGTCCATGCGGCTTAGGCTTTTCCTTTGAAGGTAACAGTACTTCTGAATTGGGCAAGCTTTGTATTTGACAATAGGCTTAGGAGCTTGCTGAGGGGGCAGGCACTGGTCTAGAGGTTTTGAGGTGGTTTTCAGAGGCTGAAACAGGCCCTGACTACAATGGTTCCATCAATTTTGCCATGGATGTAAAGCAGCTTACTGAAATGAAAGTGGCACAGCTGTGAGCCTTCTACCCATGTCCAAATCTGTCCAGGAGATAGTGACTGGTTGAGCACCGAGCCTGATCACAACAGCATGCCCCAGATCCTGAGGGTCTGTGAGCCACCGAGAAGGTTCAGTTTATTTTTGAATGCCTGAATAGGTGTAGTAAAATGGCTGACAGTGCTTCATTCACTCTTAAGAAAGCGTTCATCCAAGGTGTTCAAGTGAGCTAGTGGACAGGTAGTTTGCTCTTTCCCATGCTTCCCAGTGTTAGAGAAACACCAGTATTTTGAAGGGGCCAGGGCAAAGCTCATGAATAGGCATGCTGATAAATGTTGTGCCTTTCACAATTATGAGATACAAAGTGGTTTTATATCGTTAAACAAACAAACAAACAAACAAAACTGCTGTAGGGTTGGAGAAATGGCTCAGCGGTTAAGAGAATGGTTAAAAGAACTCTCCGAGAGGACCAGAGTTCTACTCCCAGACCCCATATGGAGGCTCACAACCATTGGTTAACTCCAATTCCATGGTATCTGATGCCCTCTTCTGGGTTTTGCAGGAACCAGGCAAACACGAAGTACACATACACATACATACAGGCAAAACAAATGTACACATAAAATAAAAATTGCTGGGTATGGTGGCCTGCACCTTTAATCCCAGCACTCAGGAGGTAGAGGCAGTTCAAGACAAACCTGGTCTATCTACATAGTGAGCTTTAGGTTAGTCAAGGTCACATAGTGAGACCATGTCTCATCCCCCTTCCTACCCTGTCCTCCACCCAAAACAAAACAAAACACCAAAACCCTTTTTGCTCAGAAGCCAGGGATGGTAGTATACAACCATGATTGCAGCATTCAGGAAGTTGTGGTAGGAGAGAGAGCAGGAGGCCAGTGTAGGCTACAAAGTGAGACTCTTTTTCTAAGAAATAAACAACCCCAAACAGTTGCTTTAGTCCTGAGGGTGTAGCTCAATGGTACAGCACTTACTTATGATGTACGAGGCCCTGATTTTGGTTCCTAGCACGCACCCTCTCCACCCAAGAAAAAGTAGCTAACGGTAACTGAAGAAACCAGGACACAAAGGACATGGGGCCTCCGGAGAAGGTGCAGGTGGCAAAGTGTTTGCTGTGAAAGCATGAGAGAGCTGAGTTCACACTGCCTGCACCCCACAAAAAGCCAGGTATGATGTGCAGTTGTAACTCCAGTGGGTCTAGGGCTTTCTGGCCAGCCAGTCTAGTCAACCAATTAAGTGAGAGACCCTGTCTTAAAACAACAAAGTGGAGAAGCAACTGAGTAAAACATGTGATGTCTACCTCTGGCCTCCACATAAAGTGGCCCCACCCCGAATGAGCACCAAGGAGCACTTTCATAATGTAAGGAATGCTTTTCCTCAGTTTCACATGGTGCTTATGTACCCATTTCAGAAGCAGAAATTCTAGTGCTGGGATTAAGTAGTAAATAAAACTGAAAAAAAAAAAATCCATTAGCCGGGTGTTGGTGGCTCATGCCTTTAATTCCAGCACTAGGGAGGCAGGGGCAGGCGGATCTCTGTGAGTTCGAGGCCAGCCTGGTCTACAGAGTGAGTTCCAGGACAACCTCCAAAGCTACACAGAGAAACCCTGTCTCGAGAAACTAAAAAAAAAAAACAAACAAACAAAAAACAAAACAAAACAAAAACAAAAAACCAAAAACCCCATTATACCTTTAACTCTCTCAAAGAAGGCGTATTCACCATTTTACTCCAAGCCAGTACCCCAGGGTATGCAGACGGTCAGGAAGTATCTACTGCCTTTGGTAGTTATCTTAACCACCTCTGCTTAAAAACTTCATGAACTTGACAGTCTAGCTTATTTGCTGGCCCATAAGGCTTCGATAAAGATCAGATGCAAACGCCCCCTTTCTGTGTTCAGGATGGCAGGCAGCCGGGAGGCAGCAGCCCAAGGTGAGCTATGGACAAATTTTCACTATCAACCTATTTGTACAGATTTTCTTGTACATCAAACTTATAGGAAGTCATTCCACTTAATCCTCACAATGACCCAGGAGATAAGCAGGTTTTACAGTTTTCACTTCATCCATGAAGAAACTGAGGGAACATGCATCTAAGGGAATCCAACGGCGGCGTCTCTGACTATTATGTATCTTAGACATGGGCAATAGCGACTTGGAACCCACATGATCAATTACTATGATGCAATTGCCTTTGGCTTATTTAATCTAGAATATTCTAACCTACATCAGGAATGTTTGAAAATTTTGTTTTTAAGACTTTTATGTGTATGAATGTTTTCTCTGCCCATATGTCTGTGTACATGTATGCCTGGTACCTGCAGAGGCCAGAAGAGGGCATCAGATTGCCCTAGAACTGGAGTTACTGTTGTGAACCACCATGTGGGTGTTGGGAATGGAATCATGTTCTCTGCAAAAGCAACACATACTCTTGATTACAGAGCCTCCTCTCCAGTCCCTAAGTCAGAAACACGATGTCCTAGCATTTCAAGCTGGCTTTGGTGGCCATGTGCCTATAATCACAGCCTTTGGGAAGTAGAGGTTGGGCGTGAAGACTCAAGGTCAGCCTCAGAAACAGCAAGTTCAGTGCCAGTCTGGGCTACATGAGATTGTTTCAAAAATCCAAAATAAATTAAAAAAAAAAAAAAAGTAAAGTTCCTAGTATTTCATGGGAAGTCCCATGGAGCTTGAAGGGTGGCAGGAAGGGATACATCATTAGACTATATTCTATACACCATTACAATATAAGTTGGCCACAAACTGGTTATGTAGCCTGTCTGAGTACTGGGATTACAGGCATGTTACCACACCTGGCTTATGCAGAGCCAGGGTTGAACTTAAAACAACCTACACTAGGCCAGCAAGCAAGTGTAAAACTTCACAGCTGGTGCAATGGCTTTGGAACATCTGATGCCCTGAGATCAATCCCCCAGAGCCACATGGTGGAAGTACAGAATTGACTCTCAAAAGTTGTCCTCTGACCTCCCTACAAGCTATAGGACGCACATGACCACACATGTGAGATGAATAAAAGTATTATTAAATCTTAAAAGGAGGCTAGAGAGGTGGTTCCAGGGCTTATGAGTGCTTACTGCATAGGACCCAGGTTCAGCTTTCAGCATCCACATCTGGTGGGTCACAACCAACTGTAACTTTAGCTCCAGGGGATCTGGTGCCCTCTTCTGGACTCCATGGACATTGCACTCAATGTGCACATTCCCACACACTGAAACATTTAATTAAAAATATTTAAGACAAAAAACCCCCCAAAACTTTAGATCACCTTTATAGTAAGTCTCAAGAAGATCTTGGTAACCAAAAATTCAAAAAAGTTATGTAGGTACAGAATTAACTTTAGGGTTGGTTCAACAGACAAAGTACACCTAAAGAGCATAAAAATTCTTTATTCAACCTAATCCAGCTAGTATTGAGTTTTCTATATTAAAAACAAGATATTAAAAAAAATTACAGCAGAATTAGCAAGGCAGTGACTAATGAAGTCACTAGATTTAATTATATATTCTTCGATCATTTGGTAAGTATGTAATGAACAATATTTTCAGCCACTTAGATGGAGTTAACTGCTTCAACAGAATTGTACTAATCATTGAATTTTATAAAAAAGAGTTTTAAAACATTGACATTTCTAGAAATAACAGAACAACATTATGAAAATAAACTGGAGAACAGTATACTCACATATTCCCGAAGTCTCTACTGTCTCTCTTCTCTACTACCCTTCTCTTTATTCCTGTCCTGTCCTAGAGGGCAGACCAACACTTTTTAGGAGCTATTCAGGCCTAAAGTACCTCTGTCCTTTCACAGCTAATTCTAGAAATTGTCTAAGTGTGAATTACATTTTAGAGATGAAAATAACAGTGGTTTATACAGTACAGTTACTAAAACTTGAACTAGTATTTTAAAGCTGTCAGCTGGGCAGTGGTGGCCCATGCCTTTAATCCCAGCACTTGGGAGGCAGAGGCAGGCAGATCTCTGTGAGTTCAAGGCCAGCCTTGGTCTACAGAGTGAGTTCCAGGACAGCCAGAACTATACAGAGAAACCCTGTCTCAAAAAACAAAAACAAAAAACCAACAAACAGCTGTCTGCCCATGCTCTTTGTTGCTTTGTGGTTGGGTGGCCACTGTCCAGGGAGGACTGGCATGGGGTACTTATTTTCTTGGAATAAGGCTCTTTAAATTTGAAACTATTCAGTTACAAGGCTAGCATCTGCTCTGGCTCACAGGCACTTGTGGTTCCTTCCCCATAGCTCTCCAAACCTCTACTTCCTGCCCCCAAGGGGTTAAAGGTGCTTTATTGGCTTTCATGGGCCTTGATGCCAATCAACCCCATCTTGGACATTAATGTAGTACATAGGGAACTGAGTGCTTGCATAACTGTGAAAATGCTGCTCAATTTAACAAATTTATCAAGGAAATTTCTAATATATCTTTTCACACTGGGAATTATAGAAGCCAGTATATTTCATAATTACAGCTAGACATCTAAGTTATTTTTATGTATAATCAGAGCTCATAATTTCTCTTCAGAACAACAGCAGTGTTAGGGTTAACTCAGTCAAATTGTCCCTTATACCCTAGATAATTACAACTCTGGATGTTCATAGTCATTCACATTGACACCATAAAACTCAGATATCCAACCTACAGAAAGATATCAGTCTTTACTAAAATTATGTTTTATTTACAATCTAACATAGCTCAATCTATATTTGTTACACTCCAAAAGTATCCACTTCTCAGTAAGAGGGACCATTTATTATCATGCATCAGATACTGTGAACTGTATTTTTAACTCATTTTTCATTTTAATCAATGAAAATTAAAAGAACATTCAGATTGCTGAACATTAAAATAGTCACTATTAAACATGACCTAAATTCATTGTTGAACAATGAATATAAAACTAGTTAAATAAAGACTATTAAGGAGCTAGCCCCCTGAATATGACAATTAGAATCTAAAGAGGGCTGGTGCCTTAGCTCAATTGGTAGTGTTTACCTAGCATGCAGAAGGCCCTGGATTCAATCATAAGCATTGCATAAAAACAGCAGGTGCGATGGTGCTCGCCTGTGATTGGGAGGATCAGGAGTTCAAGGTCATCTTCAGATACACAGGAAGTTTGAGGCTAGCCTATGTAAGAGACCCTGACTCAAAAACAAAACACCATAAAAACATCAGTATTGGCTATCCTATAAATGGATGTAGCCAAAACCAAAAACTTCGACATTCATTAGATTTGTTTTCATCATTATCTCAATGACTGAGACAACACGCTCAAGACCTCACTTAGGTTCACCTACTGCTTGTTCTGTCTATGAGATTGCAAACTCAGAGTTGGGACCAAATTTGTCTTGTTCACCACTGTATCTCACAGCACCCTGAAGTGGCTGAATAAATGGGAAGTGATTAACAAATACCTGAATAACTAAACCAATGAAAAAAACAGTAAATTTGTTATCTTTTTTTTTTTCTCAAGTTGTTCTCTGCTTAAATTACTAACTGGCAGCTCCAAGTTCTAAAAATACAACTTTAAAAACATTAAGTGATAAAAGGTCCTTATACCTCATTTCTCCTATTCCTACCCTCTCCTTCCCTCCCTCCCACCTTTTCTAACCCCCCCCCCAGATACATATACAGACACTCACAGACACACACGACAACAACAACTACATGGGTCAAAATTACATTATGAACTATGAGATGTCAACATTGCATAAATAAAGTTTAATAGTGAAAAAGTGATCTGGAAGCCCTGGAAACTGACCCTACACATCTGAGATGTCACATGGGTTAAGGAAAAGGCAACAGCATCCCTGTTGTTCAGATAACCATTTCAATGCTTACATACATTTTTTTGGTTTGTTATTTATTCAGAACTAATTTATAATTTACATTTCCTCATATTAACACAGGCTCCTGTTTAGCAAGTAATCAAATTATGCCAGTGAGAAAAGTCCTCACAGTACCTTCATTTGAGTTGGTATTCCTAAGAAAACACTGAACATGAGTATATACAAAAGAGGCATCAGAATAAAACAGCATGTCCATTTTAATATTTGTACAGTTTTAGCTTTACATTTTTGTCTGGAAAAATATGAACAAACCCAGGTTTACCATGCTAAGATAATGGTTTAGCCAACGGCTGTCAAAGCAGTGCATACAAATAACCAGGTTGAATCGTATCCTTAGTTCTGTGATTACTGAGAGGATCCCCTGCCCTGCGTGCTTTATTACATTTCTTTAAAAGATAGGAGCAGTAGCTTATCACAAGTCTCCACTAGTGCATTAATGATGGAGTCACAACAACACAACAGACTTGTCAGGATGAGAGGCCTCAGAACAACCAGAAGTCAGTTTTATGCTTCTTCTTGCTCTGGATAATTTAGGATTTTGCGGTGTGCCTGACGTAAATATTGCTGCTGTTTGAAGTAAACCTTAAATGCTCCTTTTATGGCAACAAAAGCAATTCCACCCTAAAATAAAAAGGGAAATTAATTTTTTTTGTAACGCAGGCTTAGAGAAACAAGAAAGAGCACTTTATATAGATCATGAAGGACACAATGACGCCAAATGAATCCTGATAACTGCAAGGAAAACACTTTTCTACGAGGGGCTGAGACTGGGAAAGAAGCAGACACTTCAAGTAGCAGAGGAAGAGCTTCCTTCACCTGGCATCACTCTTGAGTTGCTTTCTTCCCATGAATTCTACATTCATTCGATAGAAAAGAGAATGCCAGAGCACCATGTGGACTGTGACCAACGAGGGCAAGTGGGATGACAGGAAACAGCATGAGCCAGTTTCATCTCATTTTGTTTATTTATGATGCTGGTACTGGGGATTGAGCCCAGAGCATATTCCAGAAGAGAAGGTACCTACAGAAAGGGTCCAGAGGCCAGATTGGCAACAGTAGGACCTCCCTCCCTTTCATTTCCCTCGTGCTAAGATGACAGTGGGGCTAATGAAGAGACAGAGCAGCGGAACTACATAGAGCCCCTACAGAACCTCTCTCTTCCTTTAAAAACAAATACAGCTCACTCTCTTCTGTATACTGCTGAGACAAGTAATATTAAATCCATCTTACCAAGATTGTCCTTTGTAAATTTGAGTTAACACTACTGAACATCAGTTTACCAACTATTGTCGCAATAGTAGGAAAGACAAGGGCTCCACACAAAATTCTGGTAGCTGAGACATGATCAGCTAAAGGATTAGCTTCAGCTGGAATTCGAGGAACAGGACAACCAATCCCTAGAAGGGGAAGCATTAAGTTAGCACTAAATCTTAGAATAGCTAAAAAATAAATAGCCTTAAGCTTTAAACATTAGCGCCCCCAAACAAAACAAACTACCACCATCCACCAAAAAACCATGTGATGGTTTTTCTAAAGGTCAATTCAACATGTACTTTACATAGCCACAATTCAGTGCCTTACCTGGAAATATACTGTTCAAAATTTGTAGTTTATTTGAGTATTTACGCCATAGTCTGAGCACATAGTCCTCCCAGCGAATCATTTTGCCCAGTATCAGCATGACAGGAATAGTAGGAAGTCCAATCAAAAGGAATAAAGGGTCAGCTCGCTCCATAACATCCAGCCCTTCTTTATGGCCTACCACCTGTAAAGCAGACAGCATTTGCTACAGTTATCTTCTCATCTAAAGCAGCGGTACATTTTTGTTTGGTTGGTTTTTTGAGATCTGGTTTCTCTGTGTAGCTCTGACTGTCCTGGAACTCCCTCTGTATACTAGGCTGGTTCCAACCTCAGAGATCTCCCTCCCGAGTTCTGGGATTAGGTGTGCACCACCACTGCCTGGCTGCAGTGGCACATATTTAAGAGGTAGACATTCAGTGCATTTTGTAAGAAATGCTTAGCTTCAAAACACAGAAACACAAGTTAAAAAAAAAAAGCTATTAGTCTTGTTTTTTTGTAAGAAATAATACTGGGAATGAAAGGTTAAAAGTGGTGAAGAACACTTGCTGCTCCTATAGTGGACCCAGTTTCAATTCCCAGCTCCCACACGGCAGCTCACAACCACTTGTAACTCCAGTTCCAGGGATGTGACAGCTGTTCTGGCCTCTGTGGGAACTAAACACAAGTGGTGCAGAAACACTCCCACAGACTAACATATATATGTATAAAAAAATAAATCTCAAACATAGAAAACTAAAAATAAAAAAGAAAGATTACCCATGGCCGAATGAGGTAGTGCACACCTCTAATCCCAGTACTTGGAACTTAGAGGCAGGTAGATCTCTGTTACTTTGAGACCAGGGTTACTCGGTGAGCCCATCTCAAAATAAAACAAAGTAAATAACAATTTAGATGGGCAGTGGTGGCACACGCCTTTAATCCCAGCACTTGGGAGGCAGATACAGATGGATTTCTATGAGTTCCAGGCCAGCCTGGTCTACAAAGTAAATTCCAGGGCAGCTAGGGCTGTTACACTGAGAAACCCTGTCTCAAAAAACAAAAACCACCATCTATCCATGAGGGATGGTGGATAAAATTTCCAAGCTACTGCACTTTATGTTGGAACAAAATAACTTTACAAAAATGGCTGGACTACATTGGTTACATCTCAGTAAAATTGTGAAGGGTTCTGTTATTTGAGTTTTGTTGTTATTTAATTTTTTGAGACAGAGTCTCACTGTACAGCTCTGGCTGTCCTGGAACTCACTGTAGACCAGGCTGGCCTCAAACTCAAGAGATCCACTTGCTTCTGCCTCCCAAGTGCTGGGGTTAAAGGCATACACAGCTTTTCATTGTAGCAACCATCTTCCAGTAATTGGCTAAAATGACAAACACAAAGGGAAAGATGAAAGGCACCTGCTGTGTGTTCTCTAGATGGTTTAGGAAACATGAAGTGTTCCTCTGGCCACATAACATGCAAATCTGTATACAGGAAGGATGATACTGTACACATCAAGGAAAAGGGCACTGTTCAAAAAGGAATGTCCCTTCAAGTTTTATCATGGCAAACTGGAAGTTTACTGGGTCACTTGGCATGCTGTGGACATCACTGTAAAGAAGTTAAGGGAAAGGTTCTTGCAAGAGAATCAATGTGTGCAATGAGTACATTAAGTACTCTAAGGGCTGAGACACCTCCTGAAACAGGTGAAGGCAAACGAAGAGAAAGGCACCTGGGTTCAGCTCAACCCAGAGAAGCACACTTTGTGATAATATAAAGGGGCCTGAGAGGCTGGAATCCATATTCTATGAATTGGTGGCTTAATAGACAAAAATAGAGAATCTACTAGACTAAGTATTTTTCTTTGGAGAAGGGGAGGGATGCACCACCATGTAGGATGAGACATCTGTCATTTACGTCCATTCCTCTTCCTCAACTTGTCAGTGAGCTCTGGGACTGGGATAATTTTAGGTCCTATTTGTCCTCTAGAAGATGTTTGTGTCCTGTGTTTCCTTTTAGGTAAGCACAGCTGAGCATGGAGTAGGACTAGCCTTCAAAAGACAGCCTAAAAACACAGCTAGCAGCTGAGGCTGTAGTTCAGTGGCCACAGCGTTTTGGTTATGTAAGGCCTAACTGTAATGGCACATTGTCTGTTAATTCCTAGCTACTTGCTACTTAGGAGTTCAAAAGATCTTGTCTCAAATAAGAAAAAAGGAAAATATTTTAATGTTTATGGAGGTTATTTTCACACTAGAGGTAGGGCCTAATGTTGTATTTTTGTTATCTGAAACAGGACACAGAAATCAGTAAGCTAGAATAAGTTTATCTATGGCACAACATTGTTTTTAGGGTTTAAATGCATCAGTGCTTAAAAGGCATTCATTTTAGTGCTGGGGAAGTTAATAACATGCTGTCTTTTCAATAAAAGGTGCAAATGGAGGGTGGGAAGATGCTTAGTAGATAAAAACACTTGCACTGAGGCCTAAGTGACCTGAGCCTGATCACGGGATTACACAAGGTGAAAGAAGAGCTGACTTCCAAGAGTTGTCCTCTGACCTCTACACAGAATAGGTCTATACACAATGCATATACTCCAAATGAAAGTTTTTTTTTAAAATCTAAAAAATGCAAGTGAAATTTGACTTTCACAGTTCTTTATATATTCTGGGTATGAGTCTCCTGTCTAATGTACAGGTAGCAACAATCTTTAATCATTCTGAGTGTTATGGGATATTTGTACACTGTGTAAAGATATATTGCTGTGACTGGTTTAATAAAGAGCTCAACGGTCAATAGCTAGACAGGAGGTACATGCAGGACTTGTGGGCAGAGAGAGAGGGGAAGTAAGAAGAGGAATCTAGGCGTGCAGGAGAGACGCCAGGAGATGGAGAACAAGCAAGATGTGAAGGAGGAGAGGTAACAGCCATGAGCCACATGGCAGCATGTAGAGTAATAAATAGAAATGGGTTAATTTAAATTATAAGAACAAGTTAGGAACTAGCTTAAGCTATAGGCCAAACTTTCACAATTAATAATAAGTCTCAGTGTCATGATTTGGGAGTTGGCTGGCAGGACAGAGAAAGATTTGTTACACTGAAGGCTATCTTCACCCTGGTGATTACTTCAGGGGAAATTCTTCACCTATGTTTTTTTCTCAGATCTTTGATCCACTCTGAACTGGTTTTTGTACAGATATGAATTTAGTTCCACTCTCCTTCAAGTGGATATCCTGTTTACCCAGTACTAGTTATTGAAAAGCTTGGTTTTTCTCCTCAATGTATGCTTCTGTTTTGAGACATGATCTTGTATATCCCAAGCTAGCTGTCTCAAACTTACCATGTACCTGAGGCTGACCTCAAGCTCTTCATCTTCCTGCCTTTACTCCTCACAGTTACAGACACTGGACATCATGCCTGAACCAATGCATGTTTTTGACACTATTGTTGAAAATTAGAATTAATACACACAGCCATATCTACCTATGTTTTTTATTCTATTCCATTGGTCTACACGTCTGTTTTGTGCCAGTATCATAGTATTGTTACTAAGACTCTGTAGTAAGTCTGAGATCAGTTTATCTGTTTTTGTTTTTAAGATAGTCTTACCATGTAACCCTTGCTGGCCTGTAACTCACAGAATATTGGAGTTAAAGGCCTGGACCACTATATCCAGCTGAGACCAAGTATAGTGATATATCAGCATTGCTCTTTCTGCTCAGCATTGCTTTGGCTAGTGAGGGTCTTTCAGTGCTTATGAATTTTAGGATTGCCTTTTATAATCTTGTGAAGGCACTGGAATTTTGATGCAGACTATGTTGAATCTGGGGTTTCATTTTGATAATATACACTTTTTTGTTTGTTTGCTTTGTTTTTGGGAGATAGGTTTCTCTGTGTATCCTTGGTTGTCCTGGAACTTACTCTGTGGACCAGGTTGGCCTCCAACTCAGAGATCTACCTGCATCTGCTTCCCTCATACTGGAAATAAATGCATGCACCACCACTGCCCAGCAACAGATATTTATGTAATATTAATCCTGCATATATAAATAAATAACATTTTATGTGTATAGTGTTTGCCTGAATGTGTGTCTGTGAACTATATGTGTGCCTAGTGCCTGCAGAAGAAGGTTGGGCTCCTTAGAACTAAAGTTACAAACAGCTGTAAGATATCAAGTGGGTGCTGGGAATTTAACCCAGATCCTTTGAAAGAGCAGCATTATTAACCACTAAGCCATCTCTCTAGACCTTAATGTCTTCTTCAATACTCTAAAATTAAGTTTATTTTTAAATATTCTATTTTAAGCTACTATGAATGGAGTTTTTCTAATCCCTAAATGGACTAATGAACTGAATATAGTTCTCAAAGGAAGAAATACACAATGGCTAGTACATATTAATATTTGAAAAGGTGTCCAACATCATTAGACATCAGGGATACCAATCAAAACTGCTCTGAGATTCCAACCCATCCCAGTCAGATGACTAACATTGAGAAAACAAAGGCTGGCCAGGGAGGATATGGGAAAGAGGAATCCTGATACTTAAACTAGTGTAGTTACTATAGAAGTTGGCATAGAAATTCCTCAAGAAAACTACACTACTCTTTATTCATCAACAGATAGATATGGTACACATAAACAATGGACTTTTATTTAGCCACACACAAAAAATGTGCAAACCTGGCAATTGTTATGTTAAGCAAAATAAACCAGACTAGAAAAACTATGTGCTTTCTATCCTATGCAGAATCTCTATCTAAACATATTACATGTTTCTGTTATGAAACTAAAAGGGGGACTGTGAGAAGGTCTTATAAGAAAGTAGAAGGTGGGGGGAGAGAGGTAAATAGAACATTCACGTGACAGGAAATTAGTAGAGGCCTTCCTTGGAGGGAAAAGATCCAACAAGAGGGGAGGGGAAAGGGGCTTAAGAAAGAACAAAATATGACAGATAAGCATAAAAATGCCACAATAAAACTCATTACTTTCAATACTATTTTCTGTTGTTAAATTACAGTTTTGTCAAATGGTGCCACAAGGCTGGAACCCCAGCACTTGGGAAGCGCCAAGATAGGAGGATCAGGAGTTCAAGTAAAAAGACCTTGTTTAAAAAAAAAAATGGCTGGTAGGTGTGCCGACACTCCTTTATTGCTAGCACTTCATCTGATCTGAAGGTGGCAAAGGCAGGTGATCTTTGAATTCAAGGCCAGCCTGCTCTACAAAGCAAGTTCTAGGGCAGCCAGGGCTGCATAATAAAGAGACCCTGTCTCAAAACACAAACAAACAGTACCCCCCCCCCAAAAAAAAACCCTCAGGGTTTGTGAGGAAATGGTATGTAGAACTCAGTGAGTTCAAGATCAGCCAGGACAACATAGTGGGACCCTGTCTCAAAACAAACAAAAAACCAACAAACACAAAAAGCAAGTGAAGAATCTCATTCAAATTCCGTAACTGAAGACTGGAGACATGGAGAAGTAATGAGAATTAACGGGATAGTGATGTGGCTGGTAATTTATATGAACTCCAGAGTTGATCACAGAGCAAACTGAAAAGAGGAAATGTTAAGGTCCTGGGAAAGGAGTGCTGACAGGAGCCTGAGGCAGCTGGGTGCAAGGCAGCCCCAGCTCATTTTCTCCTTTTTATCCAGTGCAGAACCTTACCTCATGGAATGGTGTTGCCCACATTGAGGGTGTGTGCTCTTACCTCTACTATTAACCTAATCTAGATAATCCCTCATAGAAGTGTCCAGGTTTGTATTTTTAGTGACTAGTTCCTGTCAAGTCCTCAACACTAGGCATTAGAGTAATGTGGAGGCAAGAAGTTCAGAAGTTCAAAATCAGCCCTGGGAAACAAATCAAATTAAAGGCAAGTCTGGCCATATGATATCCTGCCCATTCATGTGTTACTAATGTTAACTGTGGATTTGTCATGAACTAGTCTGCCTCACCCCCACAAAAAAAACAAAAACAAAAACAAAAAAACACCTAAATACTGTTGGTTTGGGCCGGGCGTTGGAGGTGTACACCTTGAATCCCAGCACTCAGGAGGCAGAGGCAGGTGGATCTCTGTGAGTTCGAGGCCAGCCTGGTCTCCTGAGTGAGTGCCAGGATAGGCTCCAAAGCTACATAGAGAAATCCTGTCTCGAAAAAAAAAACAAAAACAAAAACAAACAAACAAAAAAACTGTTGGTTTATTGAGGCATATTCCTTATCAAATATATACAGATAACTGCTTCTAAAGATGCTGTATAGAAATAAAAATAAGTAAATAGAAGTATAAGTAGTAGAATATCCAAAACAATGTTAAGAAACAGCAGTAATATATATTCTTGTCTTACTTCTGACTTTCAAGCTACATTTATAGGATTTTTACCATGGAAACTTTGCTAACATATTCAAATATGCATGTTTAGGTAGGTAAAAGATATCTTTTCAATACTTTTAAATCACATAGTACCTATCTACTGTTCTAGCTAATCACTCATTCCTGGAATACATGTTTCAAACAAGGCTGTAAATGCAAAGGTGATTTCTAAACAATTAACACGCAATACATATTTGTAACTTTTATTATATTGGTACTTCCAGTCTATAAGTACAAATTATTAAAAATTTCAAGCACCAGATCAAGATTTTTCTTATAATTAGCAATCAATTGTTCCCTTTTCCTTAATTAAAAAAAATGTTTATGGAGTTCTGTATTCCATTAATATTTACATACACAGTTATATAATTGTTCCCTAGTATTTCATTTATGTATACCTTGCTTGAAGCCAAATACTGAGACCTACCTAAAAATAAAAACAAAATGGTTAATAAACTGCTGTAATTTTATACAAAGAATGCTATGGAGATCTTGATAGTTATGTGAAAAGATCAAAACTCATTATGAAAAAGAAACCGAGGCTATAATATGAAATTAGCTTTAGTGGCTGGCTACCTGAGAAGGTGATTGGGGATCTAGACAAATGAAGGACAGGGGAACTTTACACTACACCAATCTGTCTAACACTTTGTTTACTGTGTGTATGTGTGGGGTGGGGCATGCTCATGTGTAGAGTTCAAAGGACAACTTCTTTGGGGAGTCAATTCTCTAAGCCCTGACTACCATGTGAGTGTTTGGAGACTGAACTTGGGTCACTAGAATTTGTGGCAAGCATCTCTACCCACTAAAGCATCTCGTTGGCTCTAGGCTAGTTTTTATGTAACTTATTCTTTAATCATGACAGTACCATTACTCATTTAAAACAATAAATTAAAAAACTCCTAGCAAATATTTAATAACCTTCACATCAAAAGTATTATCACTGAATAGAGTAGAATGGTGAACCTGCATCACTGTCACTGCTCCATAAGTCACAGCTGTCCAATAGATAGATCCAACCATTATTCCTGCTGCAGCAAAAGGGCAAGCTTTTGAGATCAGTCTATCTGCAAGATCCAAGACATAAACGACTGGACCTACAATATGAAGAGAGAAAAGTTTCAATACAAGGTGGGTTTTTAGAATACTTCTTCAGTATTTTCTACAGGTCTAAAACACCTGTATCAAATTAGATGTTTTAAAAATAGTCGTTAAATGGACAGTTTTAGATTTTTATTTTTAGTAGTGTGTGTGTGTGTGTGTGTGTGTGTGTGTGTGTGTGTGTGTTTATGCATGTTCTTGAGAATGCGTGTCACATACTATTTTAACCATGCTATTTTTTTTCCTTTCTTGTTTTAAGGGTTAATTTATTTACTGTATGTGAGGGTTTTTCACCTGCATGCATGTCTGTGCAGCATATGCATGCATGGTGCCTGCACAGGACAGAAGAGGGTGTTGGGTCCTCTGAAACTATTATTACCTATGGCTATGAGTCTCTATGTAGGTGCTGGGAATTGAACCCAGGTCTTCTGCAAGAACAGCAAGTGTTCTTAACCAGTGAGTCATCTCTTTAAGTCTCACGGGTATTTTCTTATAGCTACACAAGACAATTTATTTTACTTCATTTTAAATACACTCTATTTAGTTGAAAATTATCTTCTAACAAGCTTTTAAAAAAATACAGTATTTCAACAGCTACATGTGCCAATTATCAATTATATGCTTAATATTTCGGAAGTATTTTACTTGCCATTAAGTCCAATTTAATTTAACACTAGAATTTTCCAGGGAAGTGGAAAGATCTTAGACTTGTTCAAAATAAAACCAACCCGAGCAGGGCGGTGGTGGCCCATACCTTTGATCCCAGCACATGGGGGGCAGAGGCAGGTGGATCTCTGTAACTTCGAGACCAGCCTGGTGTACAAGAGCTAGTTCCAGGACAGCCTCCAAAGCCACAGTGAAACCCTGTCTTAAACCACCCTCACCCCCCCAAAAAAACAAATCTGAATGTCTACATTTAAGCAAAGGTATGTAACTTGTTAGTTAAGTAATTGTATTTATTGAATACCTCTCTATATAAACTGTTTTTTAGACATTTTCTTAGAAATGTATGAGTTCTATCACTTGTTTTCTTGGCGCCTATATTCTAAAGAATGATAAACACAAAAGCAGTTGCCATTATTGTACAAAGAAATTAATACAGTCATTTGAGTATAGAATAATTAAACATACAAGGAAAAAAAGTCTTATAAAGTCCCTGGTCAAAATTCCCCACTGATTTCTAGAGCCAGCCACTGTAAAGAGAAAGATGACATTGTGAAGGAAAGATTCCACAGATGGCAGCATTGGAAGCCAGAAACCACAGTACATAATAAAAGCTCTACATTTGAACTTCCTTGTGATTGATAAATCTGTAATAAGAAAACTAAAGCCTCAAGAGCTACAAAGTCTCTCCTATGCATGTTCCCATTATCAATACCAGGCACACTGGAAGCCATCCTTTCAACTGTAAACCCATGGTATCTCCTTGCTCACTAACTCAAGGTCATACATAGCTCTGGAAGTTCTCTTCCCACTCTTCTTCATCATGTCCCCTTACTGATGTCTTATTTCTCATTATTTCACTTATCTTAAAAATAAACTTAATTTTTAAAAAATTACAATGTATGTATATGCAAGGTGTGGGTAGGTGCTTTGGGAAGCCAAAGGACACCTTCAGGAACCGGTTCCTTCTATACCATGTGGGCCCAAGGACCAAATTCAGATTGGCGGGCTTGGGCAATTGTCCTTTTCTGCGGACTCTTTTTACCAATCCCCTAAAATCTTTTTATTTATTGTTGTTGAGACAGGGCCTCACTATGTAGCCCAAGCTGGAATGAAACTCACTAAGTTGACTGGGCTGGCCTTGAACTCACAAAGATTCACCTGCCTCATCTCCCTAGTGCTGGGACTAAAAATGTGCACCAGCATTCAAAAATTTTCTGATCCTTCCTGTCCTACTAATCCATTTCCTTGCTTCCTTTGAATACTCAAAATAATCGTCTAATTTTCCAACAAACATGTTCTGCCCAAGTTGTTCATGGGCATTACTAACGACCTCCACATATCTAAATTCAGTGACCAAATCTCACCACCATTTACTGACCTATCAGCTACATAAACATCTTTTTTTTTATTAGAAAGAAAATTATTTTACATGTCAATCCCAGGTCTCCCCCCCCCCCCCAACCAACGCCCTCCCTATCCCATACCCTTTCTGCTTCCCAGGGAGGGTGAGGCCTTCCATAGGGGGAGTCTTCAAAGTCTGTCATATTTGTTGGGATAGGGCCTAGGCCCACCCCCTGTGTCTAGGCTCAGGGAGTATCCCTCCATGTGGGATAGACTCCTAAAGTCCATTCTTATGGTAGAGATAAGAACTGATCCACTACAAGAGGCTCCATAGATTTACAAGGTCTCCTAACTGAAACCCACATTCAGGGGGTCTGTATCAGTCCCATGCTGGTTTCTCAGCTATCAGTCTGGGGACCAAGAGTTTTCCCTTGTTCAGGTCAGCTGTTCAAGATATTTTCTTCCCAACATATGGTTGGTTCTTGCTTTTCCAGAACATACCTTATTACTCACTTTTCAGTTTCCTTTGCTAATCTACACCACTTCTTACTTACTTTGCTATATTTCCCTTTCCTAAAGCATTTTCATCACATAAAACTTATTTTACTTACCAAATCTATTTCCATTTACTAGAACAATGGCGAACCACAGCCCCATAGCGAAATCTAACTAGCTGTCTATTTTTGTGAGTAAAGTTTTACTGGAAAATAGCCAGATGCAAAGTCTAAAACATATTTATTTATATAGATCTTTAGAGAGGAGATCTGCCTATTCCTGTATTGAATGAAACACGGGCTCCAAAGGGAAAAAAGTTGTGACTTTATTTATTGATGTATCCCAAATTCCTATGATTCTCAAGTATTTAACTGAATTCTTTAACAGCTGAGCCATCTTTCCAGCCCTGTTAGTAGACTGAAGTGATATATAAAAGTCATATGTACTTGGATGAAAATATAATTCCTAAAAGACAGCCCATAATTATTTTCATTAGATCCTGAAGGACAACCTAAATGCCTGAATGTTTTTCAAATAGATTGCAAAAAATCATACCAAAATATGCTAGACTTTCTTGAGGAATCATACGGTATGAAAGACTAGTCTAAGATTAGTTTTAATATTTGGAAGGAAGAATAAATACTTAGTATTAAGCATACCATTATGATAAAGTGCCAGCCAGGAGTTAAAGATTATCTAACCAAGTATTTTGTTAAAAACAATCACTAAGGGGCTGGAGAGATGGCGCAGAAGTTGAGCACTGGCTGCTGTTCCAGAGGTCCTGGTTCAATTCTCAGCACCCACATGGCAGCTCACAACTGTCTTGCAGCTCCAATTCAGGGGATCTGACACCCTCACACAGACACACATGCACATAAAAAATAAAAAAGGAATTATTAAAAAAAATTAAACAATCATGAAAACCCTATGAATAATAACCCCCAACCCAGTGTGCCAATCAGGAAACTTGGTGCAGTTGCCATGACCTAGGATCCTAACTTTTAGGAATACAACACCAGATTACAACACAAAGAGTTATGGAGTGTGGGAGAAGACAAAATCTTAACCCTTTGAAACTTCCATCCTAACAGGAAAGAGAAAACATAAATTAATGCTCAATACAAATTAACCAAGGGCACAAAAGTTTCAATATTTTAGAAAGGCATTACTAATCTTTCAGCACTGATTGATGACTAAACCCAAGGCTTCATGTATGCTAAGTGTTTCCTCACTTATCACTAAGTTACAGCCCCAGTTCCCCAGTCCACATAACTGGGTTTTCAATGGCTTGGTAGGCCTGACCACATATACTTTCAACAGTATTATATTTATATAATGGATAGCAACTGAATCTTTGAACAAATAACTTTTAGAAATCTAATAATTCAAGAGGTATTAAAGAAGCCTGTAAAAGGAAGCTTTATTGTGAATTCTCTTATACAATAAAGATTTTTATAAAGACAGAAACTATCCTAGTATTCTGGGTAAATTCAAGTTTTTACATTTCAAGTTTGAGTGACAAAGAAAAGTAAACTGAAACTTTTATTAGGCTACTTCAAAAAGAAGTAATCAGCTTTGTCTCAAGACATTGTAAGCATAACTTTGCTATAGCTGTGATTCAGACTCAGGTTGAACTGGGTGTGGAGTCACACAACTGTAAATCTTGTGCTTCTATCCTAAGGATTAATGATTTTTTTGTTTGGTTGGTTGGTTTTGGGTTTTTGATACAGGGTTTCTCTGTATTGCTTTGGAGCCTGTCCTGGCACTCTTTCTGTAGACCAAGCTGGCCTCTAACTCACAGAAACCCACTAAGTACTGGAATTAGAGGCTGAGTCACCAACGCCCAGCCAGATTAATGATTTTTAAAGACTTATTTTTTATTTGTGTGTGTGTCTATATGCAAATCCTCTGGAGCAGAAGTGGCTTCGAGTTGTCCAGTATGGGTTCTGGAACCCAAACTCAGATTCTCCTTAGTCAAGGGCAGCCAGCACACCTGACCACTGAGCCATCTCTGCTTTTGTTTGAAGATGAGTCTCACTACATAGTTATGGCTGTCTTGGAACTTACTATGTAGAGCAGGCTGGCTGTGAAGTCAGCTCTGCCTATGGATGTTTAGAGTGCTTTACAATATTGTTTTGCACTTACACAATGAATGAAAGCACCTTAAGTTATTTTTTCCTTTGTGATTGTCTAACTGTATAGCTCAGGCCAGTCTTGAACATCCTATGTAGTTTAAGGTGGCCTTGAACTCACTTTTTCCACTCTACTCCTTGCCTCTATGCAGAGCTGTCATTTCTCTCACACATGAAAACAAGCAAACATTTTCTATATCTACCTCATTTTCTTGTATTAGGAAAGCACTTCACTATCTACATTTCTATAGTATGTCTAGCACCTACCAAAAAAATGCATCTAATAATCTCTCATTTTCTCCATGATACCCACTCCCCTTCAGAATCTCTCTTTCGTTTGATCTGCCCCATAAACCAAGCTGGGACTCCTCCATTCTTCTTAGTTATAAGTAAGGGTAATAGCACATTTTTTTTTTTTTTTTAAGAATAGCAAGGCATAAATTACAAACAAGATTGACACCAGCTCAAAAACATATGGCTGTAAATGAAGAGGGTTATACTTTTTTTCAGGTTAATTCCACTTTCAAAGACTTCTGCTTATTTTTATGTTCAGTAATTCCCAGAAAAAGGGGGTAGTTTTCCTGAAACATAACAATATAAACTGGATTTTGAAAATGAACTTAGTTTTATTAGCTCAGTGGTAGAGCATTTGCCTAGCATGGGAAAGACTCAAAGTTCAGTGCCTAGCATTGCCAAAAACCGAAGCAAAACTTTAATTTTCCTACTTTTGCTTCTTAATAGAAGAATTAAGGAATATTAGAACACCCACCACTTTTTTTTGTTATTGTTGCTGTATTGTTTTCTTAAACTAACTGTCTCCAAAGAATGATGCTCTTTAAGTCTACCCCTGCTCTCCTTTTTTAATGCGTATGCAATCTCAGGTGTAATCCTCAGAAACACCATCTTCCTCATCTGAGACAGGGTATCTCACTGGCCTGATCAGTTAACACTGACTGGCTGGACAATAAGCCCCAGGGGCAATCCTGTTTCTGCCTTTCTAGGACAGGGTTTTATGTTCCGAGAACTGAACTTGGGTCCCCACGATTGCCAGGCAAACATTTTACTGACTAAGCTGTATCACCAGTCCTGAGCCCAGCGGGCCTTGAATTCACAGAGATCTCCCTGCCTCTGCCTCCTGAATGCTGGAAGTCTTTTTCTTCTCAAATAAAAACATAACACAAATAGGCAAGTGTGGGGACTTGCTAAGGATAATGTAAACTGTTAGCAAAATAAATCTTTGACATTTAGAGAGGGAAAATACAGAAATGCACAAAAAAAGCAAAGATATGAAACCATTTAAAAATAAGCCCCAGGGGCTAGAGATTAAAGACTATTGGCTGCTTTTGCAGAGGAGCTGGAATCAGCATTCACTTGGTGGCTTCTAACCACCAAACTTCAGCTTCAGGGGATCTAATGCCCCTTTGTGTCTCCTTGGGCAGCGGGCATACACAGCATATACATGCATGCAGGCGAAACACTCATACACATAAAAAACAACCCACACACCCACCAACCAACCAGAGAGCTGGATGCTGTGGTTCACAGCTATGACGGCAGCACTTTGGGAAGGATGAGCCTGGGGAACTATCATGAGTTCCAGGCCAGGATGAGATACTGAGTGAGAACTTGTGTCAAGTACCCATCTCCTCCCACCCCCATCCCCCCAAAAAACATCTTGAAATCATAGTTTATAATCACAACAGTAAACGTATGTTGTTCTTAAAACAGTCCTTACCCAACTTTGGAAAAACTATTAGGTATTCAGCATTGCACTGAGGACATGCCACTCTGGCTGTGCTGTTTCCTCTCTGCTTTTCATCCACCCAGCGTTGTAGACAAGCCTGATGAACCCACTTAGTAGATCCTCTGCATCTGCATGGTCTCACCCACTCAGCTGTTCTATCATCTTCATCGGTGGCAAAACACACCCAGCAACTTCTGTAAATTGAGAGAGAAATGTTTACCTCTAGGGTTCCAGACTTCTGCATGTGAAGCTCTTAGCTAATGGGATGTAATTATTATGTGGTATTGTAGAAATCCTGTGTTTCATTAAAAGAATACAGAGCCCAAAGAACCAATCTATTCCCAGTAGAGCATTTCTTCACTTTCTTTCTTTAAATCTTTCACTACAGAATCTATTTTCTAAACCTTGTTTTTATTTTTATTTATTTATTTTTTTTGGTTTTTCCGAGACATGGTTTCTCTGTGTAGCTTTGGAGCCTATCCTGGCACTCGCTCTGGAGACCAGGCTGGCCTCGAACTCACAGAGATCCACCTGCCTCTACCTCCTGAGTGCTGGGATTAAAGGCGTGCGTCACCAACGCCCGGCTTAAACCTTGTTTTTAATGCATCTTTTTTCATATTCATCTTTCTAGTAATTCTCCCTGACTAGTTAGGAGACTGATTTAGAAGATTGAAATAGTTTTCAAGTATCTTAGGTTTTATAAGCCCTCATGCATGAACTTAGAAAAAAAATAAAGTATTAGTGATTTCATATACAGTTCCCCTCACGTCTCAACCCAGGAACATAAACACATTTACGTAGAATGTTCTGAGCCACATTCAATATTCAATAGTCAACTGAGGAAAAACAATTTTTTAAAAGTTCACTTATTTCTCTTCATGGTAAAGTATAGCTATAGGAAGAGAAAGGAATATTACAACTTTTCTGTCTCTTATGTTTTTCTTGAGACAGTGTCTCACATGTTGTAGGTTGGCCTTGAATTCTCAATCCTCTTGCCTCAAACATCTCAAGTGCTACGTATAGGTTCATACCATCATAGCCTGCTCAACAGTAACAACTTTAAGTATAAGGTGTTGAGTGTAGTCACTTACTCCTACCTATAGAGCCAGCACTAAGGAGGTAAAGGAAGTAAAATTCTGAATTAAGTACAGCCTGAATGATACAGCAACACCATCCCATAGACTGAGAGGGGAGGTACTGTAGAATAGTAGTTAAAAAAAATAGCAGTTAAAGATGTGTTACATTTGCTTGTACTGTGGAATATTTGTTTAATGATGTAAAGGCGGGTTACATTCTTTTATGTTGCATTTGTTTAACTCTGTGAAGCTGTGTTACTTTGCCTGTCTAAGACACACCTAATAAAGAGCTGAATGGCCAATAGCTAGGTAGGAAAGGGATAGGCAGAGCTGCCAAGCAGACAGAACAAATAGAAGGAGAAAAAGAGAAGAGGGAGGAAGAAGAAAAGAAGGAGAGACAACACCAAGAGCCAGCCACCCAGCTACAGAGCAAGCCATGGATTAAGAAGAAAAGATATATAGAAATAGAGGAAGGTAAAAGGCCAGAGGCAAAGATAGATGGGATAATTAAGAAAAGCTAGTAAGCCACACTGAGGCATAGTATTTATAAGTAAGAATAAGACTCTTGTTTATTTATTTGGGAGCTAGGTTGCAGGCCCCCCAAGAACAAAAAGCCAAAGAGTAAAAAAACAAAACAAAACAAACAAACAAACAAACAAATAAAACAACAACAACAACAACAACAAAAAACCTTGGAGAAGAGAGGTCTACTGTATAAAATAAGAGAGAAATCACATACACTGAAGCATCCAGTCAAACAAGGCCTGGAAAGCCCTGAGTGTCTGTCTCACTTTCCTGCTTTCTTTATCCCAAGACATATGTCTGCACATACATAAAGAATGTGGGTACAGTACGACATACAGGAAAGACAACACGAAGGGTAAATATTAGGGGATAAGGAAGGACTGAACGCAAGTAACCAGCACTGTTTTCTAGTTTAGTCATGGACCAACCCCCAGTGGTATATAGATAAGTGTATACATAGTATTCAAAAGTGAAAGTGTAAAATCCAACACAAAGCTTCCCAGTATCAGAATGGTTACTCTAACTAAATAAATAATTCTATTGAGCAGCTAATTTAAACACATTTTTCTGATTGGACACAGTGGCAAATGTGTTACACAAGCCCAAGAAGTTGGAGGCTACCCTGAACAGTACAGCAGGATCCAGTCTCTAAAACTACCACCACTAAACTAAAACCTTTTTGTCTGAGACAAGGTCTCATTATGTGGATGAGGCCCATCTATTCTCTGGAATGAAAGTATTAAAGGCATGTTATCACCAAGCCTGGGTACTAAACACTTTTAAGGGCACTTCACAAAGTCTAACTTTTCTGCATAATTATATTGGATTTCCAATTCTTTTTTTTCTTCTTCTTTTTTTCTTTTTTTCTTTTTTGAGACAATCTTATGTAGTCTAGGTTAGTTTAAACACTTTGCAGTTGAGGACAATATTGAACTTTGGTTCTGCCTGACTTCACCATACTTAGGTTGGGGATGAATTCAGGCTTTGTGCATATTTGGCAAATCCTCTACCAATTGAGCCACATCCCCAGCTCTCTATACAAATTTAATACTGATTTAACTCATAGAGAACCCCATTTCCTCCACCAAAGTTTTGTAAGTGGGAACAACTTCCAATTAAAGCTTGTTATTTACTGTGCTTTTCACTTAGACAACTGGTTTCTATCAGAAAAACTGGCTTAATATGCATGGTGGAAAAGGCTGATTGTATAGTCATGTACTACAAATGAATGCGTTCCCAGCCTTTTAGAACATGACTTTAACACGAACTTCAAGTAAAAATTTTCAATTAAATGGGAAAAACTGGCAAAATACTTCAGTGGGCAAAAGATCCTGCAACACAGCTTGACCACCTGACCTTGGTATGTGGGACACATGTTGTGAAAGAAGGGAACTGACCTCTGACCTCCACATATGCAAAGTAAATTTGTTTTGTTTTGAACTACGGCTTCCCTTGTAGAACCTCTTACCGATACTTAGAGAAACCCACATCCACTCTCTCAAATATACTTTTCTTTAGTTAAACACCTTTTTGGGGGGTACGGGGTGGGTTTCAAGACAGGGTTTCACTGTGTAGCCCTGGATGTCCTGAACTTACTCTATAGACCAGGCTGGCCTCAAACTCACGGAGATCTGTCTGCCTCTGCTTCCCGAGTACTGGCATTAAAGGAGTGCGCTACCACTGCCCAGCTCACTTCTTTGCTCTTAACTCCCATGCTAACTGAAGCCAATATTAAGATATCTTTAATAAAATCTTCAATTCTGCTTCATTAAAAAAAGGTTCCATGGTAAAATATACAGATCATGAAACTTATCAATTTAGCCATTTTATGGGTACAATTCAATTAAAGTATATTACATTACTGTGGATATTCACAGGATGTCTAACATTCCAGCATAAAACTGCAATTGCTAAGTATATGAGCAAATAGTGTAGCTGAGATGTTGTTAGTATAAATATATATTTAATACAACTTGTAATTTTCTAAGTATATTTGTCTCCTTTCAAGCTGGATATATATTTTGACAAAATAATGTGGGGATAATATCTAGAAATTCCTATGTATGTAGTGATATATTACTTATGATTTATTAAAGCTTGCCTGAGGATTCAAAAAGCAAAGTTAGCTATAAGTCATAGAAGCCAGGCACGCACCTTTAAGACCAGCAGCCAGAAGCTGGGAGGTGGTGGTACACACCTTTTAATCTTAGCACTCAGGGTTAAGAGGTAGATGGATCTCTGTGAATTCAAGGCTTCCCAGGAACACATGAGATTGAAGTTACTCTAAAAGAGTAACAGATCACAGGCCTTTAATCCCAGCGCTAGCCGGCTATAGAAGATAGAAGCAGGGTCTTCAGTAGTCAGTATCATGCATTCATTCTCCAGCCACACTGAGGAGAGGCAGCAGTCTGAGGCTTGGTGAAGAGCTCTAGGATCAGCCCTTTCAGCCTGAGCTATAGATGACAGCTAGTGGCTGGCTGCTTTACTTTCTGAATCCCTAGGCAAGCTTTAATAAATCATAAATGATATATCACCACATACGTAAGTTATTCTGAGGACAGAACATATTCAGAATAATTATCGGTATTAAGTAAGGGATGGAAATGTAGTTCAGCCTTACAATGCTTACCTAGCATGCATGAAGCTGTGGCTTCAAGTCCCAGCACTATAAAAACTGAGTATCGTGGAAGCAAGAATAGTTGTATTTATATTCCTCATAAATTATATATAACCTTAGATTTTGTTCCTCAGTATTTTATAATAAAAATTTCAAGCTTTCTAAAAGAAAAAAACTGGAAGGGGGCAGAACAAATGTAAGAACTGGGAGATGAGGAGGAGTGCTGTGGATTCATGAACCACAGGTAGCTGTGCTTACCTGTGTAAGACCTGCACAAGATGGGGCCTAGCAACATTACATCAGAGATGGAGGAGGGATTCATGAAGCCCCATGCCCCACCCGGTAACTCTGGACATTGGCTGCTGGAGGAGAAGGGAGTAAATTTAGTGGTGTAGCCACTGATAACTTGCCCACACGCCTGTAAATAACCCAGACCCATGCTTATGCAATCAATCCTAATTAAATACAGTGGAACACATACAAGACATGAAAACAGGACGGTGACTAGGGAGGGGGATGAGCTAGGGTAGTGGAGTGGAAAAGGAGCAAAATACATTTTATATATACATTTCTGCAAAGGGCATCCGGAATTCCCAAGTTTCTGTAAATTCTTCACTAGTACTCACTGGCTTATAAGCGAATCTCTAAAGAATGTAAGACAAGCCAGGACAACATTTAAACCTAAGGATTTTTTTAAAAGTCACCACGTGAAGGTGAAAGTGGAATGCCATCAGAGCAAACAACTATGCAATACCTTCTGGAGTCGATGTGGCAGGCAGTAATCTCTCTGGGCACATTTTAGCATGCCACACCTTAGAGTCAAATAATGATAAACTCTAAGGAAAACCTGGTAAGTGACCAGACTCCCAAACCACTGGAGAAACCAACAACTTCATTAGTTCTGACAACAGAACACCTGCTAAGTCCTGTCCTAGGATTTAGTATAAAACATGAGAATTGCCTTCTCGGGTGGAGCTTTGTGTGACCCCCACCCCCCAATCCTAACAGTTAATGGCTGCTGAACAGGGTGGCCGGTGGTCTATCTGGGGCTGCAAGCAACCACAAACATGAATTTGAACAACTGGTCAGAGAAAGAAGCTGGTGCCTAGGAGAGAAAGTGGATTTAGTCTCCAAAAAGTCACTGGTTGGAATTTAAACAGCAGAGGGCGGTGCAGTTGACTTCTCAAAGAGTTTTACGGGCTGGAGACCCCCAAGAAAGGGCAACTGGTCCCAGTACGAGCCAACACGTTTCTAGAAACTCAACGATCCTCAAGTGTTCAATGTTGCATGCATGTGGCTGTACTCCATAACCTCTACTCCAGTGTGACCGTTAAGGCTCCCTTGTGGATATTCTGACCTTACGGCTTGGGGGCGGGGATGGGATGGGGGTTGGAAGGAGAACCGAAACTCAGGCTTTTAAAAAAGAATGCCTATGCCTGCATTGTGGAGAGAGGCTTAAAAGTCCAAGGGATCATTGCCCAGGAAGATAATCTAGTTCTTCCCAGGGCATAGCTGCCAAACCCTTCACAACATACCCCGGGGGGAGGAGGTGGGGAAAAGAAACTAATTCTATGGGTTAACAACAGCGACCCTTCACCTCAAAAGACAGGCTTTTCAGAAGAAGAAGACCTCACTCCTTTAAGTTTCTAAGTCTAGGACCCAGACCGTTCGCCCAATCTTCCCCTCAGTGCCATCTCCAAACTCGGAGCCTCTCTCCCGGCCCCGGGGCAGTGGAACTCTCGGCGGACGCCAGGATCCGCGCTCTCGGGGCCTCGAGGCCAGCATGGGCAGGCCCAGGACGGAGGCCGGCGGTTCCCGGCCCAGCCCTGCTCGTACCTGTCCAGCATCTGTTGAAGGGCTTGGTCCGGCATCTTCCGCGGAGCCGGCGAGCTCGGCCCTCGCCCGCAGCTCCGCTCAGGGCCAGGCCCGGGGACAATAGCACTGAGAGG